GTATTAAAGTGCCTGTAACATAAAATTTTTGCAAGAAATATAAATGTATTTTTGGAATGATAACACACTGATAAGATGTTGCAAAAACAAATTCACGCTGCAGAGATGAACAGTTGTTGAGATATTTGCAAGTGAAATAAAAGGAAGTGACGTCAAAGGGGAATATCTGAACGCAAACAGAACATTGCTTCAACACAGACTGCAGATTCTTTTGAGTCACTATCAATGAGACAGAAGAAGAGTCTGAGTTCAAATAATATTTTCTATAAATAAAGACCAGGGAGTTCCTTTTCTTATAGAGTTCCCCTTTGATGTCACTTCCTGTTTCACTTTGGCTGAACCAAATTCAAAAGAAAATGTGTCAGTTATGTGACAAAATGGGTAAAATCATATATTATGCCATGTTTCTGAAATATAAAGATGTTTTCTTTGACTTTTTGTATTTGAGAGATATGCATGTCACAGGCACATTAAGGTTAAAAAATAAAATTTTCTCAGTTTTAAAGATGTTTTTTGTATTTTCTGAAATGCAAAACTTGCAAAACTGCAACTTTTATCCCCTTGTCTGTTTTGTTGGATATGCACTGTCAGTTTAAATATAAAAACTCACACTGTTTGCAATAAGTGACATGTAAGAAAGACATTTTCCGTGGCTGCAAATGCATTCAAGCAACAGGGGGTGGGGTGGGGGGAGGACACTTTATAAAGGCACGGCTGTTGCTGGACATAAAACGAACGGACTTTGCAAACGGACAACAGATGTCTCGTACAGAAGAGAGTGGAAGCACAGAGAGAGGATAAGACAGAATGAGAACAGGCGCAAACTGTTACTGTGAGAACGCCATGGCAGAAATACACAAAGGGGCTTTTTTTTTTGTTTGTGTGTGTGCATTAAAAGGTCAAAGTCAGATGAAATGCTGTCCCCTGATATATGGTAATATTTACAAAGCCAAAAACATGATGATTGAATTTACATTTTCTTCTCCAGTTTTAAATAGTTTCCTATTTGCATGGATTTAATATGATGCAGTGTTCAACAGTTCATGCAGATTTATAATACAAAAAAACAACAATATGAATAAACATCCAGATGTCTGCGAACAAGAAAAAAATTCACATTTATTTGATATCAAACAGGAGTTGAATTAAATATCAGCTGATGATGGGCTCTTACAAAAGAAACAAAATGAACCTAATCAGTGCTGCAAAAACTTTTCACACTTTCTCAACCATGTTTTTTTTCCTGAATACTTAATAAATTAATTAGTGTCAAAGAATGAAACATGTCTGCAGAAACTGCAAGATCGCGATGACATGAGCCGACGTCTTCAATTTCTTTCCAGAAAAGTAAATTACACATTTATCCAATTCACTCTCCTGTCAGTCTGTGCATGGCCTGGTGTTAACAAATACGGTATTCTACTGGCAAAAAAAAGAAACTCACCATTCATGAAAGCAAAAAGCACTTCACAAGCAGAGACGTGAGCATGACTTCTTATGTACTGATGTCTCTCAAAACTTTTTTTTCTTTTTTCTTTATATTCAAACATACTACAACAAGTCAAGTGTGAGAGGAGAAAGCACATTTCCAACAGTTTGATTAACCTTGTCTGAAGAATCTTAACATTGAAAGGGCATGACTACTGAATATTTGCCGTTTCTTTATTTTTTTTTTCTTTTTTAACTTTAATTTTTACACTAGTGGTACAGCAAAATATATTTTTTCAGCTGTTACTTTTACAACAGTTAATTGTGCAATAGAGAAAAATATAAGGCCTGAGTCTGAATTAGTGGTTTCTTAAATTTACAGTCCTGATGGTGTAGTGGAGCGACACTAGTTCTAGTTCTGCACTTCTTCTTGTCTAAAAAGACCCTGGTTCCATAGAGCCCCCAGGAATATGTCAAAAGTTTCATGGTTCTTTGCCTGGAGGTTTTATTTTTTTAATCTTTTACTCTTTGATTTTTCTCTCAGTACAACAGAAAGGCCAGACTTATCTCTGAGACTGCATGTTATCCTCCGCACCTCATTAGTCCCAACAGCAGTGTCCACAGCTCACATCCGTCCGGCCTCAGTTGGACGTGTTCGTGTGTAAATGAGATTTGTGTGCAAAAGTCATTCATTCATTCATTCATTATCCTCCCCCACTAATCCAGGACATTTTCACTTCCTGCCCCAACAGGAAGGGCGTGTGCGGAGCCAGGCTTACCAGCTCTTCTGACATCAGTGGGGGGAAAAAAAGCAACCAGCTGATACAAATCTGTGCAAAGACACCCCACTCAGAGGCTGGTGATAAGCTGCATTTGTCCATCGCCGGGCGCCTCCCCCTCCTGAGGGCAGTCCTCGTCGTTGGGTGGGATGATGCATCCGTCGCTGGTGCCTCGGTTTATGTGGTAGTAGGACAGCGGCGGCGGCGGTGCATCGCCGAGCTCGGGCATGCTTTTACGGTAAGCGTCCTCGCTTTCGCTTCGAGGCGAGGGCGAGAGCTCTTCCTCCTCCTCGTCCTCGGGCGGGTAAGGTGAAGCTGAAGGTGAGGGCGAGTCTCTCAGGTTTGGCATGCTGGTATAAAGGGAGTCTCTGTTGTTGCTGGGGGACTGAGAGCCCGCGTCCTCCACGGTGGTCACGGCCTCGGAGCCGTGGCCGTTCTGTCCCTCCAGGCGCCTGGGGGCCTTCTGGGCGCTGTAGAGCAAAGAGTGAGTCCTTTGAGGCAGGAGGGGAGCCTCCAGAACCTCCTTGTGATGGGGGTGAAGGAGCAACTCCAGAGTGGTTTGACCTCCCCTTCCGCCTCCTCTCTGAGGAGAAGAGGCGTCGGTGTGATCGGCCACGATGGCGTCATCCTCGCTGCCACTCCCACCCCCGCCTTGGTCGACTGGCACTCTGGTCTGAGCAGGCAGGGCTCTGTCCCTCTCTCTCGGGGTGTTGCGAACTTTGGGAGGCCCGCGGGGCCTCAGGTTGTTGTGGACAATTTCAGAGATGATCATTTTCTCAAAGGCTGCGTCGTCCAGATTGAGGCCCCCCAGGTCACCTGGGGTCCGAACGCCCACGGCCTCATAGTCGTCGTCGCGCAGGGAGTAGCTGTTGTTGAAATTGCCATTGAGCGGGAGGGTGTCCATGGCGCTGATGTCCCTGCTGTTGCTGAGAGAGTGCTGTCCTAGAAAGAAAGGCAGAACAAGCAGGTAAGACATCTGTTTTCTTGTGTTTTTAAAAGAAATAAATAAATACATCAATCATCCACGTATACTTGATACTGCTCAGGACACTTTGCTATTTCACTCTTGGTTTTTTGAGCCAATTTTACTTTTACTTTTTTACTCACGATTCAAAGGGAAACCAAATGCTCTTTTCACCATGTTAACTTTCACACTTTCATAATCACAGAAACTGGTTCTGGTCAAAACAAGATTATCCTGAACAATATTTGACAAATGAGAACAAAAGGTGACTTAAAATTTTCTATTATAT